AAATAAAGCTCTTAATTCAAGGAAAAAATTAATTTGCCCAGTCTCCAAGGATAAAGAGTGGAGCATCATTTAGAATAAAATTTAAAGTAAGATCCAAACCGTAAGTACAGTCAGGTACAGCTACACCGATCTTAACAGTCACAATCAAACCCAAAGGAGGTCCTTCCTGGGACTTGAGGTCACCTGGCTGGCTCTCTCGCGGCATTCCTCCCCAATTCTACTGGTTGTCACCCAAATAACATTTCTAAAGCTGCAGTTTTGGCTGTCTTAGTGAAAGTGTATTAACGATTGTTTTCTGCTCCCCTAAGAAGTGTCTCCCAGGTGCTTCTCCCAGATGCCGCTGGCTCGGCTCCCTGTTGCCTGCCCAGGAGTGGAGAGGTGGCAGGCAAGCCCAGGGTGTCCGCGGCCCTGTATGTCCCCGGCACACTGCGTTGGCCTGCCATTTCCTCAGTCAGGCGAGTCCTCCCACCCAGCCGCGCCTCTCCAGGTCTCTGCAGGTTTGAATCAGGATTTGTCTATAAAGGCCTAATTTGCTCAGAATCACTAATGCAGAGACGGCAAACAGATTTCGTGGTGTTCATTAACTCTGATTGGAAGTGGCTGCCTGGAGCATTGATCAGTTAGCAAAGACTGAGTGTACACACACGGATGTGCAGGGAATGAGGGATTCATCTCAGATGTCTGCCATCACTGATGTAAGTTGTCCAAGAACTCTTTCTGTAACCACCCGAAGGCTTTGCCTTGGAAAATTTCCCTGCGGCGGAGGAGCATCAGCAAACTCCAGCTAAAGCATTTAAAAAACATCCTTGAACAGCTAAAGCGAGGTGTTCAACAGAGACTTGCTGTGGTTTCTGCGCCAGGAGTGCACTGGTCAGCTTTAGTGCGGGACGTGGTGAGCTGTGACATCCCAGGAACAGCGTGCCGGGTGGTGACGGCGGAGTGTCCAGCTCTGTGGAATGTGCACCGGGTCCTGCTGGACGCGGCGTGAAAGCCCCACTCAGCAGCTCTCGTTATGAGATGACAACTCAGTGTGCCAGAGCTCAGGGCTGAGCTCACCGGGGCCCCGGCCGGCATGTGATGAAGGACGTCTCCTGTGGCCCTAAATGACCCGGCTTCCACTGGGCTCTCGAAAACACAGCGCCACGGACGATGTCTTCTGCAGAGTGGAACTCCACAGAGATGTCGCAGGTCTGGAAACAGGGCAGTTTGGCCCCAAAGACGACAGAATGTCTGCACGGGGATAAGGGCGGATGGCTGGAAGGAGGAAAGGCTCAACAGGAAACTGACTCCGAGAATCAGTACGGAGGCCTGAAGTCCAGGGGCGCCGTGAGCGCTCTCCTCTCGTTCAGCCCCCACACCTGTTCCAGACGGACCGTCTGAAGCCCCTTGCACGCAAAGGTCCCAGATTCCAATGATCTTCTGTCACCTGTTGCATCAAATCTTCCACTGAGTGGCAACACGAGGAGGAGGGGGAAAGGCTGAAGCATTCTGGGTAACAAGATCTGGCTGAAATCTTGAATTTATTGTCCGGTGGGAAGGTGGGGGGCGGGGTGCGGTACCCAAATCGTCCCCACCAGATGGGTCCCTGCCCGGTGTGGAAGGGGTCGTAGGGTGGGATACTTATGCTTACTGGCTTTGGAAGCCCACGGACATGGGTTTAACTTTGAGGCCTGGCATGTGCCAGCTGTGTAACTCCTGGCAAGTTACTAAAATCTCTCTGGCCCCAGTTTCCTCATCTGTCAAATGGGAGTGATAAACTACACAGAAGGTGGTTGTAGGATTACATGAGGTGACCCCAAAAGGGGCTGAGGACACAGGCTGGCCCACACTGAGTGTCCCCCTGGGGCCCTGCTGTTCCTGCCATAGGAAGAGCTGCCGAGGAGGCTGCGCTGGGCCGGCTGGTGTGGGTGGCAGAACAGAGCTCACAAGCTGCGGGCCTTGCTGAATGAGCAGGGACGCGGCACACGGAATACCGATGTCCCTGGTCACTACTGTCCAGAAGAGCGGGTATGTGGCTGCTTAGCACTGGCAACCTCAACAAGCCAATCTGAATCCTCCACGTTCTTCCCCTAAAATGCACCCCCCGCAGCTCCTCCATTTCCATCCTCGGCTCCCAGCTTTCACTCCTGTCTTCCTCTTACACCCAGTCCACGCCATGGAAGGCCCCTCTCGCCCGGATCGTCATGCTGCCATCTACAGGCTCTTCTGGCATCCGCCCTCGCCCACTTCTGTTTATCCTGTACTCTTTGGAGGCTCTCGGGTTGAACCCACGTGGTTCGCAGGCGCCCTCAGAGTAGAAGCCAGCACACGGAGGGTGGCCTCAGGGCCTGCAGGGTCTGCCCTGTGTCCTCTCTCACTCAGCTCTGCTACCCCCTCCCCCGTCCCTCCAGCCACAGGGACCTCTCGCTCCCTGAACACACCAGGCCTTCACACTATGCTCCCTCTACCGGAAGCTCCTCCCCAGAGGCCCATATGGCTTGCTCCCTCACCTCCCCCCTTACCATAATGTCACCTTCTCCGGGAGGCCTTTTACAACTATTCTATTTTAAATTGTCCCCTGTGGTAGTCTTCATAATTGCCCGTAAGGATATCCAGGTTCCAATTCCAGGGACCTGTGACTGTCACCTTGTACGCCAAAGGGACTGAGCAGATGTGGCTGAGTTAGGGACCTTAAGATCGGGAGATTATCCTGGAGCATCTGGGTGGGCCCGGTGCAATCACAGGTTCTTATAAGACAGGCCGAGGGAGACAGGACTCTTATATGGAGAAAAGGCCACGTGGCCAGGGCAGCAGAGGTTAGAGCGATGCAGCTGCACGTCAAGGAGGGCTGGCAGCCTTGACAAGCTGGGAGCGGTGAGGAACAGGTTCTCCCCATGAGCCTCCAAAAGGAACCTGCCCCGCCGACCCTCGGGCATCCGCCCAACGAGACTGACATGAAACGGGGTCTCTGAAACTCTCTAGGAGAACAAATGTGTGCCAAGCCACCGAGTTTGTGATCATCTGTTACAGCAACCACAGGAAGCGAATACACGCGTGTGCACATACACCCACCCCGTTCTCCTTCCTGCTTTATCTTCCCTCCAGCCTCATCCGTCTCCCTTTGTTGGGGTCATCTGTGTCTCGCACTAGGGTGTCAGCGCCATGGGGACAGGAGCCTTTGTCTGTTTTCTCTTCTGATGGTCCCCGGTGCCTGCATCAGGAGTTGCTCTTTGGGGAATGAGCAGGTCAGTACCAGTGTGAACTCTCCTAGGCCCTCAAAGAAGGGGGAGCCCTCCTCTTGCTGGGACCCAGGTTCCCACAGGACTCTGTCAGGCTGGCCCATCCCGACCTACACAGGGCTCCGTCCTTCTCATAGGACGCCAAGGCAGCCCTCCTTCCTGCCCCCGGAGCCTTGAATGCTGGGAGATGGCATGTGAGTGGCGCACGTGAGCCAGGCTGCGGTGTGCCGGGTGCAGCTCTGGTGGCCAGCAGGCCCCAGCCCACCCTGTCTGCCTGTGACACGGCGGCCAGTCCATGCAGAGGTCTGACCCTGGAGCCGGCTCGGGGACTGAAGTATCCCCAGGCTCCCTTTCTCCTGTGTAAACAGGGATAACACCGCGACCCCATGGAGGGGGGTGTCGCCAGAACTAAGCGAGATAACGGGTCGCTAATCCACACGCTCATTTCAGCGAGGTACTGCTCATTCTGGCTTTGTGGCCAGCTGTCTGCTGACGGTCCAGAGAAGCAGGGGGGCCAGGCTTGTCCTTGTGGTGCTCAGGGTGGGGTCAGGCTGTGGTGGGCCCACTGAGAGGCTCTGGAGCCTGTCCTGGAGCTGCATTCTCAGGAATTCTAGCCTAGAGGGGTACTGATCCGGCTGCAGGGGGAGCCGGCTGCCTCGTGCTGAAACCCGCGTTGACAGGCCCTTCCTGCACGTTTCAGAGAGCAGCCCCCGAGGTTCCCAATCCTTCAGGCGCCCACCCTGCCTGCTGGATGCCATCAGGTCACCTCCTCACAGGTTAGGACAGCAGTGCTCAGAGCACCAGTGGTGAACTCTCAGGGCGGAGCCTATGAGCGCCCTCAGACACCAGGCCCTGAGAATCTTTAATGCAAAGCAGGGGAGGGGTCTCTCACCTGGCCTCACCTCCAGCCTCAGCGGCGGAGCCCTCCTGCTCCACATGAGCCAGCGGGGGAGGCTGGTTTGGGGGCAGGGCTGCGGTGGAAGCGGAGCTTTGAAGGTTAGGAGCTCAGGACTTGGTGGTGGTTGCCAGGAGGTCAACTGCCCAGCTCTGAATTTTGCTGGCCGTTTGATCTTGGACACATGACAACCTTTTCAAGCCTCAGTTGACTCATGTGTAAAATGAGGGTAGTAGGAGTACCAATCAATCAGGATTGTTGTGGAACTTAATTTATATGAGAATAATCATGTAAATGGCTTGGCAGGGTGCCTGGCACAAGTTTAGGGCTCAATAAATGTTGGCTGGAGTGACAGCAACGAGGGTGACAATGATGACGCCAGTGGATTCTGTGGCCCAAGGGCTATTTCTTTTTTTTTTTTAATCTTCACCCGAGGACATTTTTCCATTTTTTGTTCAGGGAGAGTGGAAGGGAGAGAGAGGAAGAGAGAGAGAGAGAGAGAGAGAGAGAGAGAGAGAGAGAGAGAGAGAGAAACATCGATGTGAAAGGGACACATCGAGTGGCTGCCACCCGCACGACCAACTAGGGCCGGGGACACACTGCAACCGAGGTACACTCCCTTAGCGGGAACCGAACCCAGGTCTCTTGGGACTGCAGGCCAATGCTCTAACCACTGAGCCAAACCTGCCAGGGCCCAAGGACTATTTTTTGATTCCATGATACCATGCAGCCTCTCATTGCTTCCCAGGGATGTGGGAAGAGGGAAAGGGGGCACCAAGATTCATGGGGCAGAGAGGAGCCTGCTCCCCACAGTCTGTGCTCTGCACCCAGCTGTCTCTGGCACACAGGAGCTGAGAAGAGGTCATGACTGGTGGCGAATTCCTTACCTTGGTTGTCGTAGGAAGTGATGACCTGGGTCTGCTGAGGATGCTGCTTCTCGGCCAGGTTTCCTATTTAAGGAAGACAGAGGGACCTGCAGTGACTACTGGGACCATAGTGAAATTTTCCCCGGGCAGAGCGGGGAGCTGTGTGTCTGCAGGAAAGGCAGGCTGGTGGAGGCCAGTTCATCCCAGGGCTGGCTGAACACACGCCCACCCATCTACACAGCCCCATAGTGTGCTTCACGGAAATCAGCTGTCACACACCTGAATGGGAACCTGTGCACACACCTTCACACCCGGCAGGTGACAGCACAGATTCTTTTTTTTTTGTACTTTTACTTCTAGCTCCTTTTGATTATTGCAGTCATAGTTTTGTTTTCCAGATACATATATACAACTTTTTGTAGCATTATGAGTGTAGTTCTTTGGCTTGTTTTGAGTTTACGAATGAGATTCTCTTCCTTTAAGAAAATTTTTTTATTGAATTTATTGGTGTGACTGGTTAATAAAATTATGTAGATCTCAGGTGCACAATTCTATGTCATCTGTATATTGCATTGTGTGTTCACCACCCAACACAAATTCTTCCAAAGAAGGTGAGGATGCCTCCATGGTTAAGTCACCACTTCAGACATTGGTGTCACTGGGCACAGTGACTTTCCCACCTTTTAGAGTGGCCTGAGAGGTTCCTGTCCCAATTTTTAGCTAGGAGACCTGCAGCTTGGACTGGTTAACTTTTTGCCAGACTCTGCAGTTAGGGAGCGTCAGACGAGCCTCCAGACTCCTAGCTCAGCCTCCGGACTCCCTCTGAGAAGAAGGGGGCAGCCTGCCTCTTACCCTAGTCTAGGAGTTGGTGTGACTTGCAGTTTGGCTCAGTTGCACAAACATTTGCAGGGCACCCATATGTGAAAGTGCCCTACACATGGTAGTAATATTTATGTCCCGGGGACACGGAGCTGTCCTCAGAGCCTAGTGGGTCAGGCTGCTAAGGAGATGCCCTGTTCCTGCCATAGGCCATGAGGAGGAACCCACAGGTTTACCCGCCCCTCCTGGGGGAAGCACCACCCTTCCTACATCTCTCCCTTTACAGACGCCGAGGTGTTCTGGTCTTGCTGAGGTTGCCCTTGAATCTCTGCTTCAGAGGGGTGGGGGCAGGGGCTGGGAGGCCAGGGTTGTGGTGGCCGGGGAGGTTTCCCCCTGCTGCCACCTTGGCCAGCCGTCTTCCCCCCTGGCCTCCCACGGGTCTGCAGCAAGGCTGTGGGGCCTGCCACTGGAAGTGACCCGCTGGACCAGGGCCTGGAAACAAGCACGACTCGGGCACTGGCCTGTCCAGGTTCGATTCAGAGGACATCTCTTGTGCACCCAACCAGATCTGCGACTCGGTGCTTCCCACGCCTGGGTCCAGGCAGGAGCCAGTCACGGGGGTGGGTGGGGCACTGAGCTGGGTTGGGCTCTCAATCCACCTGGCAGGGTCTTGCCCTGGAGAAGCCTCCTGGCTCCAGCCTTCTCCTATAAGCAGGCCAGCCAGGACCCTGACCCCCAGGCCCACGGTAGGTTGGTTGGCTGAGGGCCAGCTCCACGGGAGCTCCTATCCAGCATGATATGGTAGTTGGGTTGGCGCTCCAGGCCAGATTCAGGCCACCTCCTGCGGGCACAGCTGGCTGCATTTCTGCTGGCCGAGGGAGGAAACAGGATCTGGGAAGGGAATCCTCAAGGAGGGCGATTAGCTGGCATAACGGTTGTGGGGTATTTATAGTCAGGCTGCACAATTGGTTTCCCTGTTAAGTGTGGGGCGTCAGTCCCTGTGCTGCTAGGCAGACTTCAGCCAGGACCAAGGAAAGCAGCCAATCACAGCAGGGGAAGCCCGTTGCTGGGCAAGCTGGGGTGTGGGAGTGGCTCAGCCCCAAACACCAGCTGCTTGGAAAAGTTTGGAGCACTCCAGGTTCCTCTTACCCTGCCAATGCCCCAGCCCAAGGAGTGCATAGAGCAGCAAAGGGGGGGGGGGAGCACATGTGCCCTTTTGGATCAGTCCCATGTCCAGCCACATTTGTGCACACCCCACAAGCACAGCCATCAGCTGCTTCCTTCTCAGATGAACACGCCATCCAGGTTCCAGGGCTGGGTGCCTTGAGCACAGGCAACGCAGATATGTACCCAGAACCTCACCATCAGAAAACATAGAAGAAAGCTGTAACTTTAATTTCTGCATTCATGCAAGTGTGTCATTTAAAAACAAATGCAATTTTACTTTAAATTACAGCTCTTGGTGGAGTGGCACGGGCTCCAGGCCTTTGTGGAGCCCCGCATTTACTGAAACTCGTCGTTTTTGCAAGAACTATTTTAACCATCCTCTTTATTGGCTGACACATGAAAAAATTCATTTTTCCTTTATTGATTTTAGAGAGAGAGGAAGGGAGATGGAGAGAGAGATAGAAACATTGATAAGAAAGAACACTGATTGGCTGCCTCCCACATGCCCCCCACTGGGGATTTGGCCCACAACCTAGGCATATGTCCTGACTGGGAATCGAACCAGTGACCTCTTGGTGCATGGGTTGACCACTGAGCCACACTGGCCAGGCAATTGGCTGACATATTATACTAGGACCCACTTCATGTCTTTTAGAAGTCTTGCAATAGTTACTATGTCCCTGTGTTTTTCCACTAAACTTCCCCCAAACCAGGAACCCTGAAGATGGTAAAAGCAGAATGAATTCAATATATTTCAGTGCTCTCCTGATGTAATAACATGCCCGAGAAGACATAAGATACATTTCAGACAACCCAATCAAAGTGAGAGGGCCGCAACAAACTAAGATGCTACGTCTCTTTCCTCCCACTATGGCCCGATTGCCCACTTGCTCATGTGTACTGGCTGGGCTCACGTGCCTGCATGGGCTGTGCCTTTCTGTGGCTGACAGGTCTCTGGAGGTCGGAGTTTGATCTTAATTCTCATGAGCCTGCAGCATACTTTCGCCAACTTTGGTGGCTGCTTCAGAGTAAGCACCGTAGACCTTTACTGAGGGAAATGAATGAATGAACTTACTTTTAGAACTTCATCCTTCCCTTTTGTTACTGTCAGCAGGATGGCAGAGCATAGCTGTTTGGTCTTGTTCAACTGGGGTTCTGTTTCCCCATTTGTGGAGGGTGGTTCCTTCACACTGGCATTTGATGAGTCGGTCATCTGACCCAGGAGGTCTGCCTGAGCCCCCTATTGGGGCTCTGTGAGTGAGGTCTGACTCCTGGTAGAATTCTCACATACCCACAGTGCAAGTTACATGGGTGTTTGTTTCTGGAGCCTGGGCTAATGAATCTCTGAGGGGCACAGAATAAGGCTCAATATAGTTGGTCCGTGCATAGAATTCCCAGAACGTCCTGGGCATGCAGGGCAACAGGCACCTAGCACCAGAAAAAAGAGGCTTTGGAAGCTGCCTTCTCTCAGATTTTATGGTATTCTGGGTCTCAGGCCAGCAGGAAGCCACTGGCATCTCCCAGGCCCCAAGTAACACTGTCCCAAGGCTCGACTCTGTCCTCTCTATTCAGAAAATTTTTCAAAAGATGAGATGAGCAGCCCCACCTCCATGGGAACACATCCAAATGATGCCAGTGAACAAGTGGGTGCAAAAGCTTATGGCATTGTCCTTCCAGCCCCCAGGAAATAGGGGGACCTGATGCCAGGGCAAACTTTCCAGGGTCACAGTGGCCCCAGAGGCCCTGCTGAGTTACAAGCAGCCACTTCTGAGTGGCTAGATGACTACAGCCAGTCTTCAAACAAGTGAAACCCAATGAGTCCAGTCATTTCTCAACGTGTTCAACTCCAGAGGTTAAAAACGAAAAGAAAAGAGAGAATTTACCACAGAGGCCGTTTTCTTCTATTTTCTGCCATTTCCGTATTTCGTTTCTGATGCCTTGGAGTCCTGTGAAAGAACAACGACGGGTGTGAGGCTCTCTGTGGTGCAGAGACCCAGGCCTGGAGAATGATGCGTCTGGGTTAGAGTGGGGCTGGTGGAACCTGGCTCTCCCAGGATCCGAGGGAGGCTGCCCACGAATGAGTTGCACTTGGAAGCATGAATGCAACCTTCAACGTTTTAAACATTACAAAAAAAATTACAACAGTAGTTTTCAAGGGTGGCAAGGTTGATTATCAGGATCATTGCAATACAGATACCTGTTTCTCACCACCACATTTCCACCGCGTACATAGGGAAGGATTATTGTTGAATATGTTTGCCATTCATGCTTATTTCTGCATGTGATGAATCTCACACTTTTAGAGTCTTGATGTGGGATGGGCGAGGGCAAAGACTGCCTTTCCCTATAGGAACTGAAAGTGATAGCTGCCTGCTCTCCCAGCCTCCCTTGCAGCTAGAGCATGGACATGTGTGGCCTAGGCCTGGCCAGTCAGTGGCACTTGTGTCTAATTCTGTCTTGGGACCCGGTGAGGCAACAGGGAAGGGAATGGAATTTATCTCTCTCTCTCCCTCAGGTGACAGTTGGAAGTGGTGGCTGCAAGGTCAAGTTCCTGGCACAGAACCGGCATACGTTCTAGCAGTGGGAACAGCTGCAATAAAATCAAGTTCCTGGTGCGAAAGCAGCACCGAGTGCTCCTTGGTGGCAGCAGAGGTTTCCTCACCAGACCAGCTCTGCTGCACAGCTCATAGTGCTGTTCCTGGAAGCTCAGCTTCAAGCCTGGTTCCCCAGCCCTTTCAGCCTCTCCAAGGCTCCCCAGTCCCCCTTCTGCAGAGCCCTCCACAGTCAGTGTCTGGGACCTACCACCTGAAACCCTCACCGACTCACTTTTGGAGTGGCATGCATACGTCACATTGACTTTGGGGATAAAACCTAAAACTCGGAAGCTCTTTCAGACTTGGTGCAGGCTGCTTGTCCACAGCCGGGGAACTACCTGAGGTGACTCGAGGGCGTCCAGACATGTTTTTGAGAAGCACTGCATTAAGGGGTGGCTAGGAAAATGCTAGGGCCCTAGAGGAAAGGGGAGAGAGCACCTGTTGGCCTTTTGGCCCAAATTCCTGGTGCCACACTCCTTGCCTCCTGTCCCTTTGACTCTTTTCTGCTGCAAGGACACAGCAGAAAGCCACCTAGTCACATCTTCAGTCAGTCCTCTGCATGGTGACAATAACTGAGCCTCAGGCCCTCCTTTGCAGAGCTGAGGACCTGGAGCAGGGAGGAGACAGGAGGAAATGACTGAAAGTGGGCATGGGTGAGTTTTGGATCTGTACACGAATAAGAGGCCATGGAACAAGCTAGACTCGCTCAGCGTTTCCCCTCCTTAGGCTGTGTGGGCTTGCAGGCTGGCTGAACCAGGGGTCTCCTGGCCATCACCGCTGCCCAGCAGGCCTCGGAGACGGTGCATGCTCCCTCTTCTCTGCTCCGGTGCAGAACTTCTGACTAAATATGAGACACAGATCTCTCTACTGACACAGGATCTGGGAGAAACATCTGTTAGGACAATATTTGGAGAAAAATATCGGCAGGAAGGGCTCAGCAAGCAGGGTCTTCTTTCCCTGAGTCACGGTCACGAGTGTGAAGTGCCTTGGTCTGGAGTCATGCAGGGTTTGTGGAAGGTGCAGTCCTGATCCCAGGCATTTCTGGGGCTTCTCTGTGTGCTTCTCTCTTTCCTTCTAGTGACAGAGCCTTTAGGAAAGAAGTGATCGGAGCAGGAGAGGGACTAGGGACTAATGGGCGGACCCCGAGCGGAGCCTTGTGGGGGCCGTCTGGCTGTGCCACACACTGGAGGAGGCCTTCTGATGTGCGGAGTGGGAACAGTCCCATTTCTATCAGAAAGCCGACGGCCTCTCCCATTTCCTCATTACAGAAACTCTGGGTGGGCAGCTCTGAGAACTAAAGAGAAACATTCTCAGCTCCCCAGAATCTATTTTTCCCCCTGCTTGCCTCCCCACGGGGTCACCAGGAGCTATGGGGCAGTTCCAGCCTGTGTGGCTGGCAGGGGCAAAGCTATCCATGGTGTCATTGTGAAAGGTGGAAAGTGGATGGTCAAAGTGCAAGGGGACTCTGGCGACAGAAGAAGAGCCGGGGCAGACTCCACGGAGCTCTGGAGCTGGAGAGGAGGTGGGAGGCAGAGGCCATTTTACCGTGGGGCTGTTAGGCATCACTCTCAAAGCACTGGTGCACAGTCAGGCTAGTGCATGCGCACACCACTCTGCCAGGTTTCCTAAGGGCTTCCTCCTAGACCCAGGACCCAGAGGTTCCCAGACATCTGAGGGACTTAGTTAACAATTATTATGCACCTGCATTCTCTTCTCATCGTGTCCTCTCCTCTGGAGAATACAGAGGCTTGGGACCTGCTGTTCACAATCATTCTATAAACAGTCACTTTATTTACCATTCTACAAGTGACCAGAAGATCTGAAGGAAAGAAACATTAATAGACAAATTAAGGTGGGGGAAGCAGATTTCAAGCCTTCTGTAGAAGAGGGGGAGAGGGCTCAAGAAAGGGAAACTGAGGCCGTGAGTTGTGCAAGGGCATCAGGGGAGCTCCTCATCTTCAAGTCTGACTCAGCACACAGATTTCCCTGGGCACCTTGCACCCTGCATTTGCCATATGGGGAGCAGGCTTTGGCCACCCAGGAATCAGGTCTGAGGCTCTGGCCCCCTTCTTCCAGGGCATCTTCTAACCCTGATCTGCACCTTTCAGAGAGTGGTTGGAGGGAACTGGTTGCCGGGGTTGACGGAAGCACCTACAGGCCTGCACAGGAGTCAACTCAGGGCAATCACGGGGCTGCGCGTTGCCAAGGGACGCCAGAGCCACAGCTTGGAGGCGCAGGCAGCCATGGGGAGAGGGTCAGTGTCGCTGACCTCGTTCGGGGGCACGAGGGGCGTCCCCAGGGCGGGCGGGCCTTGGGGTGAAGAGGCCGAGATGCTGGGGCCTCAGGGGGTCGGGCCCCGCGCGCGTTACCTCCTTTGCGCTGCGGCAGCGCGCCCGGGTCCGCCTGCCGGTCCGAGTGCGTGCCCTGCGCAGCGCGCCGTTTCTCCGAGTGCACAATCAGCAGCATGTCGATGGACACGGCGTTGCTGTCCTTCTTCAGTTCCATGGTGCCACCTCGTTCCCTGCCGGCGCGCCGCGGCCGCTCGCAAGGCTGCCTGCGCTGCAAATGGCCCCGTGCGCGCCGCTGCCCGGCGCGGGAGATGGCTAGGGCGCGGGAGAGGGCGCTCCCCCGCCGCGGAGCCGCTGCGCGCCGCGTTTCGCTGACTCTGCCAAACACGCCATTAAGCCCGCCCGGGAGGGCGCTCCCCTAATGAAGCGGCTCTAAGTCACCTTTGAAAGGAAATCCCCAGCTGAGTCCAGACCTGCACCCAGGCCACCGGCCCCAGAATCTCCCTTCCCGCGCCCCCGCCTGCCGCCCCCTGCGCTGGAAGGACTTGTCCCGGACCCCAGCACTGTCTTCTGGCCTGGCTGGCACGTCTCATCCCTGCCATCTCAGGGTGGGGGTGGGGGTGAGGGGTTCCCCGAGAGGTCCTGAAACAGACCTTCTCCAGTGGCCATGGCGAGTACAGAATCGCATAGAGCTGTCAACAGTGAGTCATTTCAGAGAAAGGAAAAACAAGGTTCCGGATTGAATTGCAAGGTGTGGAGAAATGGCTAACTTTTGGCCTTGGCCCCACTCCTTCCCGGGGTGGGTTTTGGAGGTTGACAGTTCCCTCTCTAAGAAGGAAGTGGGTGAGTCTTGGGGTCAGAACCTCCCCCAGATTATGGCCCCACCAGAACTTGGAACATGCTCACTGGGCATCAACTTGACAGTTTTCTCCACCTTGAAGTGAAAATCTTAACATCTCTGTTCCTTCTAGAAGCTTGGATCCTGCCCGTTGGGAAAGTGAGGCGGGGAGAGGAGGAGGCTGGGGGACAGGGAGCAACTTGCCTGCTGTGGTCAGGGAGCTGGACCTGAGAGCCCTGCTATTTTTAGCTGGGCCTGGCCTGCCCGGGCAACAGCAGCAGGGCCTTTGGCTCTGGGTCTCAGGAGTGTTTACAGCCACATCTTCCTGGTAGCCCTTGGTATGGTGGGCCCACCCGCCTGCACAGTCCCCTAGCTTGATTTCCACCATTAATAAATGCGGAGCATATGGAGGCCTTTGCTCTAAAATCCTTTCCACCTTGGAGTGTTGTGACCCCACTTTGCAGCATGGCCTCTGAGAGCTCCCTCATCCGCCTTGGAAGCAGATTGTATTGCACAGGCCTAGGTTCCAGTCCCAGCTCCACTACTCACTGCCCGTGTGACTTCAGACGAGCTGTCGCCCCTCCGTTTTCTCACCGGTATCTTGGGCCTAACACACATCCTCACCAAGCTGCTGCAGGAATGCTGTGCATGTGAGGTGCCTGGCTCATAATAAGTGGTCTCCCAGTGGTGGCTGTCATTCTTACCTCATTTTAAGGACTAAGAAAGGAACAGGTGACTTGACAAGTCAGTGATGGAGCTGGGAGTCACACAGCTGTGCCCTCAGACTCTGGAGATCTCTCCCCTTGACTGTGGCTCACACTTTGGCTGCCGGTAAAGGTGGCTGCCTTGTTGCATCACCACCGCCCCCTTGCCCACTGGGCATCTGTTGAAAGGGGAGGTCACTGGCTTCTGACACTGTTGAACTGGAGCCCTGGAGGGCTGAGCTGAGGGACCAGTGGAGGTGGGTGACTCCCAAGGCAGGATTCCTCATGCAGTGAGTCCTGTCCTCGCCACACACGGCTGGGAGGCTGGCTGAGCCTTGCTGCTTTCTAGATGGCTGGGGAAGTAAGAACTGTGGATTATTCGAAGCTCCTGGGGTCTTGGAGATTGCCCAGGCATCTCTCTCGTCTCAGCATAGCCCCGTCTGACCTGGGACAGGGGGCCTAATTCCCTCGAGCGTGCAGATCCCAGCAGAAGTTCCTATGCACAGCCTTTCCTTACTGGATGGAGCTGAGTGGGAAGGTGGGGAAGCTGAAGCCCCTTTACCTGACATTTGTGTCACCCCCCCACCCCACACATAGTCCCCTGTTTCAGAATGTCTCACTTAGGATCTAGCTCACCACGATGGCCCTTCACAGAGCTGCCTCTGGAGAAGGAGATTAGAACCTGGGGGTGTGCCAACCAGAAGTCTCTCCAGGATGCCTGAAAAGACATCCTTTGGAGCAGGGCTTCTCCTCTGTGGCACTGTGGACATTTGGGGACCAGGTAATTCTTTGTTATAGGGGGATGTCCTGTGCATTGTCGCTACATCCCTGAGATCTAACTCCTAGATGCCAGTAAGAACCACTTCCCAGTTGTGACAACCCAGATGTTGACATATGTTTCTGGGGGAAAAAAATGCAGCGAGAACACTGCTTTGGAGCAAAGCCATGAAACAGAGGTAGCGTTGCCTTAACTGCTCTGGGAGATGCTGCTGCTCCTGGAGCCTGAAGCTGCCCGGAACCTGGAGCCACTCCCCAAAGCTCCCACCCATGGTCCCCGGTCTGCAGAGCTGTTCCTTGCCAGGAGCATGGGAAGGAAGATGAGATGCTCTTCTCCCCATTCCACCTATACTACCCGAAAAGGAGACACCATGATTTGGCTGAGGGCTTTTGATGTACCCGGAAAGGAAGGGGAAGCAGGAGAGAAGACTGGAGCCAGGAGATATAATTTGGAGGGTCTATCCCTTCTGCTCAGACCCCCTCCAATTGTCCCATAATCAGTGGGATAAGGAACAGACCCTCAGCCTGCGATTCACATCTTGGGTTTCTATAGACCCGTCTCCTCCTCTTTCCCTGACAACCCACACATGCTGCAGCCACATCGTGTCCACTATGCCCCACACGCATCTGGCTTTTCCACCTCTAGGCTTTGCTCAACACATTAGCCCCTCCACCCGGCCACTACCTCCACCTGGCCACTATCTTGAACAACGTGGCATCAACTAATTAATCTGCATCCTTGTCTTAGGATCTGACAAACTAGGGGATATCTGCATTCTGGGGCAGAACCTTCATTATTTTCATCACGACGAGCTGGAAATTTCAGGATACCAGAGACAAAGAGCAGTCAAAGTGGCTGCACTGTTCGCTTCACCCTCCGTCCCAGGTGCTGATCAGGCATGTCCAGCTGTCACCCACGCTGCCTCCATCCCTTTGCATAAGGGGGGATTCCTCAGCTGTCTGGCTGGTTCTGAGCCCCTAGCTGTCTTTGCGTCTTGGACATGGGCAGTGGGGGACAGGGGGAGGCTTGCTCCTAGTACGAGGCCCTTGCCAGAGGGGGTGTGTTCCCCTCAGAAACAGGAGTTCTGTCTTTCCTCAGAAACAGGAGTTCCTCAGGGACCACCAGCCCTAACTCTTCTACCTCTGCAGAGATCCCAAGGGGCGCACTTCTCTCCGCTCTGCAGAGACGTAGTAGGCAAGCCGATACATGACAGGTGTTCCGCAGGCAACCTGTGGACACGCCATGCTGTTTTCACTGGTGCTGTGGGAAGGGGCACCCTGAGAGTGGGACCAAGTCTCAGTCTCTCAACACCCTCACATCCCCTGAGATGGGCGAACCGGCACACAGGGACCAGACACCTTTCCCAGAAACCTTTCGACAGCTGGCATAGACTTCTCCTCGTGTCTGGGAGCCTGGCTGGGCTCACTTCCTCTCTGAGCCTTTGTTATCACCGCCTCCAGTTCCTGGAAGGCCTTGTCGGACCTCCTTGGCACGCACAGTCTGGCCATCTTCCAAGGCCTGCCGTGGCCCTCACCTCCACCCTGAGCCTTCCTGGAGCTCCTGGAGAATGACAGCTGTCCGTGGCGCCTCTCTTTTTGATCATCCCCACAGTTAATAGGACTTGAGAGATTATCCCAGCTCTGGCCCCATGCTCATCAAATTCAGAAAACCTATCAGTTCCCACTGAACAGTCATATAGGCAAACACGTGTCTGCAGACTCTGCGTCCTATCAGAGTGACCGGGGCAATACACTTAACCTCTGGGAGCTTTGGTTTTCCTCATCTGGCAAATGGGTGGGAGTATTGCTGGGATTAAAGGAAATAAAGTACTTAGCTCTGACTTAGTTCAAGATCTAGCAGCTTCCTATATTCTGGGTCCTGCTCCAAGGAGGGTCTCACGGATGTGATTCCACACCTGGGCAGGGAAGACAGAAAAACGGGAGGCATCCCTGAGCTCGTGGAACAGGAAATTGCCTTCCCTCTGTGTCACTGTCATGTCACTTTCGGCCATCCCAGGGACGCCCAGTGAGCCGCCGACTCCATTCCTGGCGGGACTGACCTCAGGTGTGTGCAGCGGCGGCGGAGTTCCGGCTTTTCACAGCCTCCTTCCCTCAGTGTGTGCGTTCAGAGGGTGTGCCTCAGTACCGTCTCCATCTCATATACCAGACAACTGACGCTTAGAAGCCTACGGTGACCTATCCAACGTCCTGAGGTGTCTCACAGGTAGCAGGTGATGCCTGAAATCTTGCTACCCTACCTTGTCTGACTCCAAAGCTCATGTGCTGAGCCCCTTCCCCCCGGCCATCACCCACGTGTGAGCTGCGGCTGCTGAGCGCCCTGGCCCAGGGTGGGGCAGCCGCCAGCCTGCAGGGAAGACGGTCTCAACAGTCGTGATGGACGCAGCTTGAGCCAGGGCTCTAAGATCTCTGCTGAGACTCTGGGAAGGATTCTTCGAGCTGAAGCCCTGAGCTGGACCTTTGGACAGGTTTCCTGGGCTCTGTGGCACAAGGGGGGCAGAACGGTGGCAGTGGCAGGAGTCAAGCTGGCGGTCAGGCGCATCCAACAGCCTTCAGGAGCAGGAGGTGGCCCTGCGGGGATGCAGAGGAGGCAGAGGCCTGCCATTTTCAGAGCCGTGACCAGGAATGTGTGCTGCAATAAGCCCCTAGCATTCTGCGGTGAGGGCGGTTAAACCATAAAGAGGGCTCTCCAATTCTGCTCAGTTTGCCACCAAGATGCTGCCCGGCCCAGGCAGCAGCTTGTTCTTGAGCTCCTACTGTGTGCAAGGACATTATGGTGAAATGGCAGAGTAAGCACAGGGGAGGGGCACCTGTCCTCCTCGCAGGAGGGTCCAGGAAGGCTAATAGGTGGAGCTGATGTTTGAACACTGGCCTCGGGTGGAGGGGTAGGAGACAGCCCGGAGGAAGGGCGAGGCAGG